GAAGTTGTAAGAGCGGAATATTGAGCTAATAAAGTTATATTCCGTAGATATATGTCGTGATTATATTTATTGATATTTCTTGACGAAGCTGTAAAAGCGGAAAATTGAGCTAATAAAGTTATATTCCGGAGATATAGGCCATGTTTATATTTAATGATATCTCCTGACGAAGCTGTAACAGCGCGAATATTGAGCTAATAAAGTTATATTCCGGGGATATAGGTCGTGATTATATTAATTGATATCTCCTGACGAAGTTGTAAGAGCGGAAAATTGAGCTAATAAAGTTATATTCCGGAGATATAGGCCGTGTTCATATTTAATGACATCTCCTGACGAAGCTGTAACAGCGCGAATATTGAGCTAATAAAGTTATATTCCGGGGATATAGGTCGTGATTATATTTATTGATATCTCCTTACGAAGTTGTAAGAGCGAAATATTAAACTAATAAAGTTATATTCAGGGGATATAGGTCGTGATTATAGTTATTGATATCTCCTGACGAAGTTGTAAGAGCGGAATATTGAGCTAATAAAGTTATATTCCGGGGATATAGGTCGTGATTATATTTATTGATAGCTAGTGACGAAGTTGTAATAGCGGAAAATTGAGCTAATAAAGTTATATTCCGGGGATTTAGGTCGTTATTATATATATATTGATATCTCCTTACGAAGTTGTAAGAGCGGAATATTGAGCTAATAAAGTTATATTCCGTAGATATAGGTCGTGATTATATTTAATGACATCTCCTGACGAAGCTGTAACAGCGCGAATATTGAGCTAATAAAGTTATATTCCGGGGATATAGGTCGTGATTATATTTATTGATAGCTAGTGACGAAATTGTAATTGCGGAAAATTGAGCTAATAAAGTTATATTCCGGGGATTTAGGTCGTGATTATATATATTGATATCTCCTTACGAAGTTGTAAGAGCGGAATATTGAGCTAATAAAGTTATATTCCGTAGATATAGGTCGTGATTATATTTAATGAT